TATGGAATTGAATAAAACCCTCTATTATTACCTCTATTATTTTGCAAACAACCACGATAATTATTTCTTCACTTCGGTCCAGAACAAACAGTATTAATCTCGTTACTGTTACGATAGACGAGACAAAGAGAGGAATCTGAACAGTTCGATGGCGAATGAAAGAGGTTGCGTGTTGCTCGTGTGCACGTGCTTGCCGTGCTTTAATCGACGGCACTCAACTCTTCAAAATTGGCAATAAAAGAGCAACATAGACACGTGCGAGGACGCGTGCCAAAGAGATTGCTTTTTATTTCATGTCGCCACGTCGATTCATTCACGAGTTATATGCCGTTTAAAGCCGCAGCATCGACATCAGGTGTCGGCTCGGTTTTCGCGCCATTGCGATACTGACACTTGTTCTCCCTTTTCTCTCTCACTGTCTCTCTCTTTCTCTGTGTTTTTATGCTGCACTTGTCTCTTTGAGTGAGATGAATAAACGATTTGATGTTGCGTGACCACGTTGAGGCGACGCGTGACCGGTACGATTATACTGGTCTGATCTACGGAGTGGGGATAGAGAATCGTTCGACTGACTGTCGCGGCGTTTCTTACAAATAAACCTAACTGGAAAGGTACACTCCGACTTCTTTCTAATTTAATTTATTCTATTTCTAAGATATAGGCGTTTTTGGATTGCTAATTATAAATATGAAGTCAAATGTGTAAAATTATTTATATAAATAATAAAATGTTTAAACAAAACATGTAAAAAATTGAAAAAAATTATTTATATAAATAATGTCTCGGTTTGGCCGAGATTCGAACCATTTTTGACTAATTCAGCATAGTTTTGAAATATTTCGGTTGGAATCTCGGCTAAAGAAATTTAGAATGGTCCGTGTCTCAGCTATACCGATTTTGTTAAAATTATTTAACTATATTTTGTATTCAATTTTATTTCTTATGCATTTTTGTTGCACTTGTTGATGGTAGGAGTGAAAACATTAAAAAGCTATAAACTGCCCGTGAAACTCAAAGTAGGCCAAAATGAAAAAAATATGACTTAAATATTTTTTGTACTTCTATATTTGTGCCAAATTAGAAAGAAATTGGAGTCTTTCGAACAAGTTTACTTGTTAGTTCCAAGATCGTCAATAAGCGATCATAAGATCTGCGAGATTCTTCCTAATTTCTAAAAAGCTCTTATTGAAACTTGTGTTTTATTATTGCATTTTAAAAATAATATACATGTGATGAGAGCGCAGATAGAAACGTAATGTCACACATAGAGGACTCATTTCAGAAATTAGGGAGAGTCCTGCAGATTTGATGAAGTTCACGGTCCTGAGGTTAAGCGCCGCGATAGTCAGTCGCGAGATAGGATAGTTACGCTTGTCGGGACCGTGAAGTGGGGGTAAGGCCGCGGCCGCTGTCACGTGCACGCGAGATATCGCTTCCCAAAATAACCTCGCGGAATGCGGCTATTGTTTTCACTCACGCGTCGTGACCTACCCTAAAGCACAGTAAAGGGTCAGCCTCAGCCGATCGAGTGCGCGGATCGATACAAATGTCAATAATTCCACTTGTAGAGGTCGTAGCGACTTGAAACAAAAACTGTTGGAAAGAAGATATTTCCACGTATGCGACAAACGTGAAATCGTCCTTCTGTGGAATAAAGATCGAGTAGCGTAACCATGCGAATACGATAAACATCGACATTCTGTATTTACATTAAAGCGGATATTAATTCATGTTAAAAGCCAATGGGAAATTTTGATTCGGATTTGTAATACGAAGTGCATCAGTTTTTACGAATATAAAGTGCAATTTAAAAGAAAAGCGAGATGATAATATTACAAATTTTACTCTGATTCAGATATATAGGATATTTAGATTTAGTTGTTCGAGCGCTTTTTGTACAAATAAAATTTGTACAAAATAAAACTAAACTGAATAAAAAAACCATTTATATAGAGAAAATTTTGTAGTGAAAATTATTACAGGGCTTTGTATCCGAGGAATACATCGATACACTGTAGCAATTCATTCACATATTCATTCATTCATTCATTACTTTATTATTGGGAAATAAGTCAATAAGCCCAAAACATGACTCTTGAAACTGCCTGTCAAGCTCGTCTCATTGCATCCAATTTTCCTTCGTCAATATTTCGATGATTATCGTAATAATTTACAAAATAAAGAATTTTTCTGCGCTCTTTTGCGAAATTTAACAATTCCTATACGAGCGGACGAACACCTGAATCCAAACACCCTGCATATCCTGAAAAATTTCTATGCATGATATAATCATCGAGATAAAAGTCAAAAAAAGAATGGAGAACTAAATAAAATAGAATTCGCAAGCGAGATCGTCAACGCAAATCCAGTCCAATTATCGCCACTGAGTAACTCCGGGCTCTTCCGCGAGATTTCCCACAAAATTGCGCCCACGAGGGAAGTGCACGCCAATGCGTTAACGTGCACCACCCGCGCGCGCGCACGCACGCACGCACGCATGCATGCACGCATACAGGCAGATCTCTCGCTCATGAGTGGTCGTAAATTCGCGACGCGGCGCCGCATGCAATACAATACGGACGGCGCGAACAGCTCGCGGATCGCGAATGTGCGTGGCGCGCGAGACGTCGGCGATGAATAACGAGTCGGCCAATTATTAAGCCCGCTGAACCCGGCGCCGCAATTAGCGCACGAGTTACGAGGACGAGCTGCATCTCTCCCGGATCTACGCGCGTCGTCGTCGTTGTCGTCGCCGTTCTCGCATTAATGGAAACGCGTGCGACGAATGACGACGTGCAGTAGTATTAGGATCTCGGCGACGGAGACGGAGCGCGGATTCTGCGAGTTCCGCGAGTCTCGGGAGACGTACGTCGAATAGCTCTTGCCAAGATGCGCATATATCGCGAGGGCTGCGTGAGGCTGCATAATACGTGCACTCTCGACGCATCACCGGCGCCGAATTCGCAGTCTGTATCTCGTATCCGAGAGTTCAAAACCCCCAGAGTCTCTCCGAGCGTCTTACGCTTTCACCATCTGACGCTTCTACGATCGGTCGACGACCTCTCCCGACGATTCGGCCTTGTCGTCGTCGAACAGGCCAAATTCCGCAGAGACTATTCTTTTGATCCGCCAACGACCTGGGCCGGTACTCTAGTCCGATTTTATGTTTAAGATCGTCTTGAGTCTACTCTGAGACGCTGTAAGAGCCGTTCCATTCACTGCACAGTGTCTCACGATGAACTCCAAGCGATTTTAACACTTTCTTCAAAAATTAATCTTTATTATAGGAAAATTGGCGGAAATAATTACAAAATGTCATGACAAAATAAAGTGAAATTGCTTCGTCGTTTAAGCCTAGTATAACTCAGAACAAAAAGATCTCAGTTGGAACAAGAAAGGAAGCATGTGTTTACTCTTGACGTCGAGTACTGTCAAATCGATTTTTTTACGAATTTTTGGAGAACGAATGATCTTATGAGTCTCATACTGTAAAACTATAATTCTTAAGCCTAGAACAACTCAAAACAAAAAGATCTCGGTTGGAACAAAAAAGATAGTATACGAGGGTGGTCTGAAAAGTTTCCGACCTCAACGTGAAGATAGCAGCACTTGTAAATAAAAGCTAGTGAATTTCGTTGTTCATCTGTTGACAGTTACTCACCGAAGTTTCAGCCATTTTGGACTCGCAGTTGTTATGTAACAGTCGTTTGAGTAAGTTGATGTGAGTGTTTTTGTGAAAATGGACAAAATCGAGTATCGAGCTGTCATTAAATATTTGTTTTTGAAAGGCAATACGCCTACGCAAATCAAAGATGAGTTGGATTCTGTGTATGGGGACTCTGCACCATCATTTACGACAGTGAAATTTTGGGCCGCTGAATTT